CGCAGGGTTACTAAAATTTGCGAATGGGTCCTTCAAACTGGATGGATTTACGCTGTTAGCCCCCGAGAGTTTTAGAATGGTCAGAGAGGGCTTAAAATTATTCATCATTTGCTGTTAGCAACCCTGAAAGTTTTGGAATGGTCATAAAGGGCCTGAAATTATTCAGTATTTTCTGTTAGCAGACCCTAGAATTTTGGATGGAAAAGTAGAGCAGTGTTCAATGGTCGAGCCAATTTGAGAAACTGTTTATTTAGCGAGCAAGTGAGGGTGTGATTGTTTATGAATTCGATTAAAAAACCTTTGTCGTTTGAAAAAAAAAATTAAAATCAGTTTTCACTTATCTAATATTAATTTGAAATTCTGCTCAATTTTAATTCAATCGAACTCTATTCAATATTGAAAACTTATTCAATTATAATTCAATCAAACTCTATCCAATACCATCAATTTAATTATAATCGAGTTTCTCTTGATTTTTTTTTTATTTTTCCTTTCTTTCTCTTACTATATTGTATTTGTATATTATTCTGTGCTATTTGCATTTTCTCCATTCTTTTTTTGTCGTGTGTTTTGGTTGTTGCAAAGGATACAACGCATCTCATGAGTATGACTCGAGCCATTCTTACCAGGCATCTCGAGCCGACTATGATTATGACATTTCGAGTCACGACGAGCATGCATACATCAATCCTCCACCTATGCACTACCACTATCCACTGCTTCCTAATTATTATGATTCAACACTTAATTTCAAGGTATAAAATATATGTGCTTACAAACTCACAAATTATGTAAATCATAAATGGTTGCGGAAGTTAATAACACTTGACGAACTTCTAGCGGAGCGTCTCACTTCCCTTCAGAAATTTTTCATTAAGAAGATGTTTGGCCAAATAGTACAACTAGCAATTACACTAGACTCACTCTTCCTTACCAACTTTGTACTACACCCATTGAACTACTCTTCTCGTCACGTTGCAGACTTACAATTATTTCTTTGGATCCCTCCAAACAGTTAAAGATGCTCTTCCCAAGCATCAAAACAACATACGAAAGACGTATTCAAAATCCCAATACAACTAACATTGGAATTTGAACTCTCATGAATGAAATGAAATATAACTCACAAGTACTTGATCAACTATTAAGTGTAGACTCTACTTGTGTAACAATTCTCTTTAAAAGCTTAACTCTGTAAATGACGATATAATGTTATATATACTTTTATCCCAAAACGGTATGTAGGTTCAAAATGCCCATTTTCATATCCTGAATATCTCCGCAGCGAATCTCCTCAATTTTGGTGAGTCGAGCATAGTCCAGGTTCATCTCTCCATCTCACATCAATCAGATCTCTTTTTCTCATCTCACCATATGTGGTGCCATCATCTTACAAAATTAGTTCCACCAATTAGGTTCGAAAATATGGCAAGCTTACAATCAACTAATGGAAATTCAGAGGTGATTGAGACTTCTCCTATTCGTTTCGTGATTTTTCCATGTAACCTATTTGAAGAAACATTAGATAAGGACCACTTATATGCTTTCAAATTAATGCCAAAATACTCATGATCTTACACTCATCCCCTTTGGCATATAAGTCGAAAACAAGTTTCTTGAACTTTCCATTTGTAAGGTTCATAAGAATATGAAAACATCATATATAATAGGCAAGATTTTAGTGAACCGGCAACTTAAACAATCTTAACTAACTACAGCAAAGGGAATTGTTCACAAAAACAACATAATCATAGTTCACCTAAGGTAGGAGAAATCAATCACAAAAACCATTAAGGTGTTCGATCACCACAAATCAACCAAAAAGTGTCTATGTTTAATACAAAGCTAGAGCAAATCAAACACAATAACTCAAACATCAAATCCTGAATAAAGAATCATATGTCCTCTCCAACATCCTCATCTTCTACCTCATCATGATCCTCACTAACCAAATCTTCGTATGCCTCTTCATCTTCAAACTACAAATTCTACTTCTTTTTAGCTTTTTCCTTTGCAGGACTCTTCTTCTTCGGTTTAGATGTCGAAGCCCATAGAGATCCTCGTACTGTTTGTCTTAAGCGCGCCAAGAACTTCCTTGTAGTACCTACGTTGATCTGCCATATTCTTTTCCAGCCAAGCCATCACCGCAGTTTGCTGAACAAGAAAATCTTCAAGGTTGAGGGAGACATCAGAAGCTTGCACAGTAGATGGAACAACAACAGTCTTTGTCCTACTGCTACGAGAAAGTAGTTTGGCAGTGCAAGTTCATCCCCAATACAAGTGTTACATTTTATCCAAACAACAGTAAATACACCATGAATAACACAAGGAAAAATAAGAAATTTATGGGGTTTGGTTATTCCAACAAAAGAAATGATGGCATCAAATATCAGAGACCCAACATCAAAAGGCTTTCCCAACAACACAATCACATGAGCTTGAGAACAGGTAACACTCTTCTTATTAGAGGTAGAGGTCCAATTCAAGGAACATACCTTCTTAAGGGTACTAGCTTGCTCTGTGAGGCTCGTTACAAATATTTTTGGATTAATCCACTTTGACAGTAACCCCCCACTGATAGCATGTGTCACTTCATCAAGGTCATCATCAAGAATTTTTCTCGATGGATCAAAGAAAAAGACAAAATAAGAATCAATAACAGCAGGACTAAAGTCAACAATATAGTTACGGACAAAGGATTTCAAACAACGAGGTGAAATCACTAAAATTCTACAAAGATTTACATAAAATTATGACATAATGTCAGGACAAAAACGACCAACTAAGACAACAAACTTCTCAATTCCTGAACCCTCGATCAACTAAAAGACACACAATTTTTCAAAGTTAGAAATAAAAATAGTACGTTCATTACAAATAGACGTGAGGAAAAACATGTGGGAGTGACAACTTTCATCAGAAATAATATAAAATTGACAAGAATGGGCATTGCTAAGATCATAGTTGTCATCCTCCCTCTCAAAGGTGACCGTTGCAATGGCTGATGCCCCTTCAGTGTGGAAGCGAGTCCTAGGGAGTTGTAAAAACTGAGCCACAATAGTACTCCATGTGATTTCCATGTTAAGGTCAAGATTAGTAGGGTTCTCTTCAGAATGTGAAGGTTCACCAACACTTGGAGTTGGAGTGGCAGGTTGATCCTCTGGTGAAGAATCCCCACTGGACTATTCTTAACCATCTTTATTAGGGTACCCTTTGTAACCTGAGGGACAAATGGCTTATTCTTGCAATGGCAACTTTAGACTTATCTCTATATGGAAAAAAATCCTTGAAAAATACCTTGGATTGTTCGTCTCATTTTAGGACCCCGATACATATCTGCGGAAATATAAAGGCAGAAGTAATTCTCAAATAGAACACTCAATGGTAATATGGAGCCTGATATATATAATGAATTGTACTAGAGCAAACATCGCATTTGTCGTGAATAAAATAAGTAGATATATAAGTAATCTAGGACATGAACACTAGAACCTGTGGAGAGATAAACTTTCTTTCTGGACTTACAAGTTGGAAGACGTTCGTAACGCAGTTGTTGAATCCAGATCGGCCTGATCGGAAGTCTCCGGTTCGGCCACAAAAACCCAGGGAGGACGACCTCGTGGTTCGAACCGGGCAGCGAACCGATACCAGGTGCCGAGATGGTTGAAAGAGAAATTCAGTCGCAGTGACGTTCGATGTAATCCAGAGGTCGGCACCTGGCGAACCACGTGGAAATGCCGACCTCGCCCAACGCCAAGTAGGATAATGGATTCCAGAGACCTCGGGGAAGCTCGAGTGTCCAAGTGCCGATCTGAAGATCTGGGAAGACCAGCCCGGGGACAGGCGCAGAGTTCGATAATAATATAATATTGCTACTTGATGGCTAATGATTGAACGATGGGACAAGCCACCCTAGCCTATTACCCTAGGGCATCTAGCTCGGCAAAAAGGGCTGGTAGCATTTAATGCCACCCATGTGTGCATTAAAAGCTTAGCATGCCATGATTAAAGAAACCTCAAGTCGCATTTATTCTGTCAGAGTTGTGCCAACCTGATATACAAAAATACTGTGCGACAAGACCAGTGAACAGTACCAGAATAGTGTTACATTTAAGGATACTATAAATAGGGACCCTTCTCATTTATTTTGAGTTGTTGAATCTCTCAACTACTACTCTCTCTCTCTAGAATCCTGTAATAAACTCTCGTAATTACTTTCAAGTGTGAACAAAGTGCCAACCTAAAGTTCGGTGGCCGACCTCGTAATTATATAATAAAACTCAATTAAACCGTATTTTCTCCTTGTTTTCTAATTTCTACTTTCATTATATCATATTTTAGTCGTTGATCGGATACGTCCATCAACAATAGTAAAACTTTCGGCTTTTAGACTTTTCTTAGTTAGTTATGGTAAACCCCCAGGCGGCGTGTTTTTTTATAAACGAAATTGTGAGATTGTTCAAATATTTGAAATGTACTCATAAATATGGTCTGCAGTATTGTAAAAATTCAACTGTGATTGAACGTTGTAGCGATGCCAACTGAATATCGAATATCAAAGACTCTAAATCTATTAGTGGATATCTATTCACTTTGGGAAGTGTAGCCATAGCATGGA